CTCCTAGACTGAGAGAAGAAATCTCTTGGTTAAAGCCATCGTGTGTGTATTTCTGTTAGAGCAGCACTAGATGACTAAGACATCCAACAAGGTGGTCTTTCCCTTCTGTCCACTGGCCCGCTTCCCTCCTTTCAGAGTTGTGTGGTGGACTGTGAGCCGGAGACACTGTAATGGAAAGATCTCTCCACACGGCCAGGAAACCTAGGCCACTTATCAGCTGTGTAGCCACGGGCAGATCATTTTCCTGTTCTCAGCCTGTCCTTCTCTATCTGTAAGTTAGACAGGATGCCCTCAGACAGACCATAAGGATTAAGTGATCAAAAACACTGGTAGAGTCAGCACCCCATGGGTCCCTGCTTTAGGAAGGGGGGTTGGGGGAGTGAGGAAGAGGTCACAGGAAACTCTAAAGCTGCTGTGGTAAAGGCAGGCTGGGCCTGTCCACCTCTCGGGCCAGAGCTCAGGGCTCTGCAAGCACCACCTGTCAGGTGATAGGCTGCCTTGCACCATGTGCAGTGCCCCCCAGCCCCTTCCCCCAGTACTTAGGGATTGCTTAGGCCGTGCTTGTTGAGCAGCTCGAGTATTCAGAGGCCCTTGGTTGTCACAGGTGGGGGTGATAAAGATAAGGGGTACAGACCCTGTTCCGTTTCTTAAGAGTGAGGTACATAAACACTGTGAGGGAAGACAGTGTGGGGGCTGTGGGAGAGGCTCAGGGAGCGCTTCCCGTGTGATCAGGGGGCTGTTCATGACTGAGCTGGCTCCTGGGTGGGGTCAAAAGGCTGCAGAGAAAGCGGACTGGAAATGACATCTTCAGAGAGCAACAGAAATGAGATTCTGGCCTCTGTAAAAACTGTTTTTCACTGATACCTCTGCCATTAGCTTTGGCTGCCATTGAATGTAAATGTATTTTTTTGGTCCAAGAAATTCTTCTGAGCTTGCTGTCTGAGGTGTCCAGTACTGCTGTCACACAGTGAGCGGTTTAAAGACCAGAAATTCATTTTCTCACAGTTCAGGATGCTGGAGTCCAAATCTGGGTCTCAGCCCTGTTGACTCCTTCTGTGAGGCTCTCTCCTAGTGTCCGCTCTATGCCAGCGATCCATGGCTTGTAGACGATTTTCACATGGTGTCTGTCTTCCCCCACGTGTGTCTCTGTGTCTCTTCTGGTCTTTTTGTAACTCAGAAGTGAGTAGGTTCAGGGCCCACGCCATACTGGGATGGCTTCATTAACATAACAAAACCCCTGTTTCCTAACAGGGTCACACCCATAGGTACAGGGCTTAGGATTTCGGTATATACTCTGGGGAACGCAACTCAGTCCCTAACGCTGTCCTACCACAGAAAACAGATACTTGTTAGGCCTCCCTAGAGCTGAGGCGCTGGTTGTGTTTTTGTTTCAGATCTCACACATCTGTTATTAAAATCCTCCAAACACAGTCATTTCTCATAGAGTACATCAAGTCGCTGTATTTCTTATTTTCAGGAATTTAACTTTGGTTCGTGCTTTACGTTTATTTCTAACTCTGGGTGACTTACAGGACTTCTGACTTTTAAAATCTCGTAAAGCTTGAAGCCCATGGAAACGAAGTGTTCAGAATCTGTGATTTCTGCACTAACTCTGGACATTGTCACCGTTTTTCCCTAGTGAACGGGGAGCAAGAGAACCGGGTGCAGAAGGGAAACGGGTATTTTCAAGTGCCCCCCCACACACCCGTCGTCTTCGGCGAAGCTGGAGGCCGCACGCTGTTCAGGTACTTACAGGGGGGGCCGAGGCCTGATCGAGAAAGCGTCCCGTTTGCTGAGAACTGTTGATTCAAACCCATGTTGAAAGTTGTTGATGATCAGTTTCCAGGGATGTCAGGGATCTGGAAGCTTCTCTGCCTCCATGAGGTAGTCAAGTGTCTGATCCTGTTAGATGACATTTGAGTTGAGAGCCAAAGCTCTAGGGTTAGAATGAGGTGGATGCCTTGCCTTGAGGCAGATTCTCTGGTGGCTTCTGCAGGAAATTCTCACCTTCTCTCACTTTGCCAGCGTGACTGCCAGGATTAGGGAACAGGCAGCATCACCAGAAGTCCTGCCCAAAGGAGAGATCAGGGTGGGTAACTTCCCCCAGGAAGGGCCAGGCAAGATGGGCTGG